GGTTGGTATTGTCAAATACAATATACTTCTATAATTTCACATCTAAGTGCTTTTTCTCAATTTTTGAATTCAGTAAAAGCTGACAATCATTATTATAAATCTTCATAAGGCTTAGCATTTGTCAAATCAAACGATATAATTTTAGCAGAAATAGTAGTATTGCAACTCCATTCATTATTTATACTATGTTGTAGAGTGTTCACAGTGCTTAGGAAATTCAAACATAACTTTTTTATTTTGTTTTAAAAGGTCAATTATTTCCTTAAGTATTGGCGGATAGGAATGAGAACTAACCCTGGAGCAACAAATTCAGCAAGGAAAATGGGTCAAAGAACAGATGTTTGGAGGATGACAGAGAGCAGTGGTACAGGTAACCAGGTCAGCAGGCAGGAATCCTGATTAGAGTTAACTGAACTCCATTTCCCTTTCATAATCAAAATACTTGAAAACCTAATTTATAGCACCAGCCAATTGCAATAAAAATTTCTTAAAAAGCCATAGAAGCTTTCAGTAGTGAAAGCAATAAGATTTCATTGTACTAAGACAGCTGAAAACCATCTTTATGGGAAAAGGTTGCTAAATTTCCAATATGCACATATTAAAATGACAATTAGCAATTTAAATAATTTAAAGAATTAAACATACTGATAAAATGAGCACAACTTAACCTCATCTATTTTGGGTTGATTATTCATTGGCTGTTAAAAAATGTCTTCCTGAAGAGAGACAAGATAAACATGTCCTATATTTAACATGACAGCAGTTAAAATAATAACCCTTCTTACAGTATGTCCATACCACGGTTGCAAGCTTAACCTCTCTGAACTGAGGAGCACAGGAATATGCTGCAAAGATATTTATGCTGGTATCACATGAGGCAGCATAAATAGAAACAGTAGAGCTGAATGAGCTCAGGGGCACTACAGTGTGGACATTTGTTCATCACTGGATTTTGGCTGGCACTTTCCCAGCAGCTTGCATCACATCATGTGGATGTACAGGTTTGGATGGGGAATCTTGTAGACATACCCAAATACTGGGCCTTACAGTAATCCTTATAAGGGCTGTATTTTGGGAAATAACAGTTAGCAAACTTAAATGTCTACAAAATGCCAATTTGAATACTAGTAGAAAAGAAAAAAACATGAAGGAACACTTTATTAGGAATTACTGAATTTCAGAAGTCAAGCTAAGTTATATGCAGGGATTACAAACCAACTACGGTGACTATCTGGCTTTAATTTTACATTTTGAAAACTGAGCTCACACATGCTTCCAATTGTATGGGAGAGTTTGTTTCCTCCCCCTTTCCTCCCAGATAGCTTGCACTTGCTAGTGTAATCACAGATCATATGAAGAGAAGGACCTAACCTCAGGCAGAACCACTACACTGATGTTGTTTCTTGCAGATGTTTGTGTAACCTGTTCTTTAAGACCTGCAAATAAAGAGGCTCCATAGCAGCCTATCCCAAGTCCCCCGGGCAGATGGTAGCTCGTTAGCCCTGTGAGGCCATCCATCTATGAGAAGGTCACTCTAAACAAACCTACGTCCTGAGGACCTCACTGCCATTGTCCAAGCTTGCTTGGCCCCGGCAGATGAACCTTAGGATTAAAGGGTGGGCTCAGTTCAGCGCAGGCTGTGTCTCACCTAAAAAATCCATTGCGCAGGCTGGAAAGGTAAAAGACCTTTCCCCAAATCTTCGTTCGCGAAGACTGGCCATTATTATTATAGCAGCCTATTCCACTGCTTTATCATCTCCATTGTAATTCTTTGCCCCTCAGTTTCTAACTCTGAAGCCTGTGATAAAATTTGACGTAATTACTTCTTGCCCTCCAAAAGTAATACAGTGCACAAGACCCTTCCTCATTATAATTTTCATGTAGTTGAATACTTACATCCTCAGTTTATAATTTTTCAGTTCAATAACATTAATTCCTTCACAATCTTTCCTTGTAGGTAGCATTTTAGGAACCTTTTATTCTCATCTGGACTCCTTCTATCAAATGACATGTTTAAGTGCAATACTGAAAACTACTCACAAACTAAGGATGTAGTAAGTTAAAACAACACCATGAAGTTGAAAAGTTCAAAAAAGCCAGGAACACGCTCCTCAAGTCACTTCACACTGCTTAAAAATTGCCAGTGGGAATGAATGTAGTTGGACATAGGAATTTATTTCTTTAGAAAAAGAAGGAGTTTAAGACAATTTAAAACAGAATTTCTTTGGGGTGGTTAGAGCGAGTGAATTTCACTGATTCTCTTCTAGTATATATGAATGGTTTCTGCTTATTCTTTAAAAAGTATTGAGATATTTTTCTAACCTTTCTTTTGCTGAAGAAGAAAGCTTTGAGATAGAAGCAACAAAGGAGACATTATTTTGGACTGGATTACTTTGAGCTGTTTTTATTAACACCTGTTTAGCTAATCTACTGTTAAAAAGGGTTTGAATGCTTAAAATCACATGGAAACAAGCACATTGTACCTTCTCAGTCCTTTCTATTATAGTTCTCTAAGTGTGAAAGGAAAACCAACCCTTACTGCTCTTGATGCTTTACAGGAGAAGAAACGAGCAGAAAGTGATCTCAATTTTTTAAAAAGTATTTTCTGTATTAGCAAATGTCAGAAAAACAAATTCAAATTTGCCCTGGAATGTTTTTCTTTTTTAAGATCTAGTGCATTTGCTAGATAATACATACTTCAAATTCTCTCTGGCTTGACTCTTGTTACATCAGCTGTAAGCAAAGGATTCCCAAACTCTGCTGCACAAACTATTTCAAAACATCGCCTCGTACACCAAAACTTATCTCCTTGCACTGCTCCCAGAGGAAACTGTGAGCAGTTGTTTGGGCAGCAAATGCTGCCTGCACATGCAAACACCTCTTTTACTGTGCACAAAGTTTAACAAACCCAGAATTTTTTCCTGCAGCTTTAACATAACATTTCTTATTCAACCCTGGTAATGCCCAAACAAATAAGAATCCTTGCTGCTAATTTAGATGCTATTCTATGTCACCTTCAACAAATAAAAGGGATAAATTGTACATCTTGTTCAACAGTTGAATGGATATATCTGAAGTAGTTCCCAGTTTCAACATTTCTAGTATTGATGCAGTAACAGTCTGAGATCCAAAATGTTTTCATGAAGCTTTTGTGTTTCCTCTTAATACCTAATGGCTGCAACTCTGTGCTATGTGATGATAAACGTAGCACAAACTCTAATGCATTTTGTGTTGGAAAGCTGACCTTGAATTATCAGCAGTCGGAAATTTTAGAGAAGTAAAAACTTTTGTGGAGAACACATTAATCATATAGTTGGAGGTCACTGAAAGTAAAAAGGACTACACTCAGACCTTTCTCCACACAGAAAAATCCTTGAAAATTCCTTTTTTCATACAAGAAAATAACAGCTCTTAGAACAGTCACATCTCTTTCATTTCTCTTTCCAACTCACTGAAACAAAAGAACATGTTGTTGAAAACCTCTCACCTACTCGAAGAAGCAAGTGAGCTTTTTTGTTTTTTTCTTGCCAGTACTGGATGTCTGCAAGTATGGCGGCCAAATATGTTATGCAAAGGATTCTTAATAAAGAGTGTTTTTACACCTAAGTCAAGGAATAAAGGTGACAATGGGTGCAAAAGACAATGCTAAGACAGCGTTAGTTTTGTGATAGGTATATGTGGAACCATTCCACATGTCTGTATTATCTGTATCAAGATAATTAACCAGATTTTCCAAACCAGTCTCAAAAGATCTTTCCCATGCACACTGTACACTACCAACACATATATTTTGCTGTTAACATCTGCTCAGTGAAATGTTGCATCTTTTTAATAAAATCATTCCAGTTCAGTAGTATGAATACTTCAAGAAATATAATAAACAATACTAATCAGAATAAACCTTAAACCCCTTAATTTCATTGCATTAGCAGGTTAGTAACTTCTTGCTTACATATACTATTTTGGCAAATAACGTGTTGTTCTAAAATTAGAATGGAAATGGCTTACTTTTTAGTATATGTAACAGAACTGTATAGATGCATTAAAACTTTAAAAGTAACTTCTAAAAATATCTTTTTATAATCATATCAACAAGGGAAAAAATAATTTAAGTACACAAATTTCCCAGAAGGCTATAAGAGGTTACATATCACTCTAGCCAGTGGCTTTGTTTCCCATTATTTAAGATAGTTTCTGAAATATAATAAAGAACATCTAATCTCAAAATGTACATCAACAGATTTAAACATTATTCTCATTAACCCCTACAGAGGCTATAAAATAGGGTCAGCTGAAAGGGCTTTCAAATGGTCCTCAGCAGACACTACATCATGTTCTTGTGATCTACTGCTTGGAAAGGAAAAGTCTTTTACAGCCTAGCCCCTAAGGGTTTTAAGATCATAACACTTAAAATCCGTAAGTACAAGCTTGCTTTGATATCTGGTACAATACTATAAAATATGAATTAACAAGGACATTAATCATTTTTACATGATATAATTATTAAGCATGCCATAATCCTGAAAAAGGCAGTGAAATAGTATCATATGTATTACTCGTTTTAAAATTTGTAAAGATATTTCAGTTTAATTAATGGAAACCACCTGTCTAAACACCATGAGCTCATATGCATTTTTTAAGGACTGGCTTGAAACAGAAATGTAATCTTTAACCAAGTCACACAAACATTCACTTGCAGTGAAAGGAGGTTGCTACAAAACCTGCAGCATATTGTTTTCTGTTACTGAGTTGCAGTAGCTGAAGTTTGTAAGCACCAGAATCCCCCATGCAGCTGATCAGTTACAGCTGTTAATTGTGGAGGGAGAGACTGGCTGACATCTGCTTCTTGCATAGTTAGTTAATGGTTCACTTCCAGGTCCTAAAAGGATTGTAACTTCTCTCAAAAGACAATGTCGGCCCCCATATATGTCTGCCTTCTACACTGCCTGTCTTGTTCTGGTTTGTCATCCTCTACACAATGCAAATCTGAGTGAACTCACATCTGCCACTGATCGACCCAATTCGTGAGCAATCTTTTCCCATCGACCGGGGGTCCCCCCTGGGAACTTAACCATACTTCTTGTCAGCTGGCTCAGGTCCTCCTCTGTCCATTCAGGTGCCTGTAAAACATTGGTAAAACATTCATTACACTGGGATATTGGACAAATATTTGCAGAGTAATATACTGAAAAAAAATCTCTTTAAACAAATTAATCTAATATTGTAAAAAGAAACACAACAAAAAAACCCTGTGTACCTTCTCCCTCTGCTGAAAATCTTGAACACTCAAAAAATCCGTTCTGTGTATTACGTAGACTAACACATTTAATTTCTCTGAGCTGGAATACAGAAACGCAGAGTGCAGTGAAGCCCCCATAATCCAAAGGAAAATAACCTGCTGCACCACCTAGACACACACAAGCCCATGGGGCTGGATGGGATCCATCCAAGGGTACAAGGGAGTGGGAGGAAGTGCTCACTGAGCCCCTTTCAACCATTTTACCAGCAGCCCTGGCTCACTGCAGAGGTCCCAGTGGACAGAGGTTTACAAAATGTGATGCTCATCTACAGGAAAGGCCAGAAGGAAGATCCAGGGAACCATAGGCCTGTCAGTCTGACCTGGGTGCCAGGGAAGGTCATGGAGCAGATCAACTGGAGTGCCATCACACAGCATATGCAGGATAACCAGGGGATCAGACTCAGCCAGCCTGGGTTTGAGAAAGGCAGGTCCTGCTTGACCAACCTGATCTCCTTCTGTGACAGAGTGACCTGCTTAGGGGATGAGGGAAAGATTGTGGATGTGTCTACCTGGACTTTAGTAAAGCCTTTGGCACCGTTTCCCACAGTATCTCCTGGAGAAACTGGCTGCTCAGGGCTTGGCTGGGTGTGCTCTGCACTGGCTAAAAAACTGTCTGGATGGCCGGGCCCAGAGTGTCGGTGAATGGAGTTACATCCAGCTGGCACCTGGTCACCAGGGGTGTTCCCCAAGGATCAGTGTTGGGGCCAGTCCTGTTTAATATCTTTATTGATGATCTGGACAAGGGAATCGAGGGCACCCTCAGTCAGTTTACAGATGCACCAAGATCAGTGGGAACGTTTGATCTGCTGGTGGGCAAGAAGGTTTGACAAAGGGATCTGGACAGGCTGGATCGATGGGAAGAGGTCAGTGGTAGGAGGTTCAACAAGGCCAAGTGCCAGGTCCTGCCCTTGCGTCACAACAACCCTGTGCAACTCTACAGGCTGGGGGAAGAGTGGCTGGAAAGTTGCCCAGCAGAAAAGCACCTGGGGGTGCTGGTCAACAGCAGCTGAACAAGAGCCAGCAGTGCCCAGGGGCCAGGAAGGCCAGTGGCATCCTGGCCTGTATCAGCACTAGTGGGGCCAGCAGGACCAGGACAGTGATTGTCCCTCTGTACTTGGCACTGCTGAGGCTGCACCTCCAATCCTGTGTTGAGTTTTGGGTCCCTCACTACAAGAAGGACATTGAGGTGCTGGAGTGTGTCCTGAGAAGGGCAACAAAGCTGGTGAAGGGTCTGGAGCACAAGTCTGATGAGGAGCAACTGAGGGAGCTGGGGGTTGTTCAGCCTGGAGAACAGGAGGCTGAGGGGAGACCTTATTGCTCTCTACAACTACCTGAGGTAGGAGGTTGTGGTGAGGTGGGGGTTGGTCTCTTCTCCCAGGTAACAAGGTATAGGATCAGAGGAAATGGCCTCAAGTTGTACCAGGGGAGCTTTACATTAGATATTAGGAAAAGTTTCTTCATCAAATGGGTTTTCAAACACTGGAATAGGCTGCCCAGGGAAGTGGTGGAATCACCATCCCTGGAGGGACATGGTTTAGTGGAGGACTTGGCAGTGCTGGGTTAACGGCTGGATTCAATGATCCTAAAGGTCTTTTCCAACCTGTGAGATTCCATGATTCCATGATTAAATCACAGTTTAAGACACAAAAGTTTTAGACATTTAATTGCATACGTAATATTTTTCAGCAAAGACAAAATATCTCAATTTTTACATACTAAAAAAGCCTCTAAATAAAACAGAACAGTTATCTTAGCTTTTTGTCACTGTTATCATCCAGTGTTTTAGAACTCTGGCATGATCCAGGAATGAAATCTGTTGATTCTAATACTGCATTAAGACTATTAAAAACAGCCCTCCCCCGTCCCTAAAATGCAGTTAGGCCACAAAACCAAACCGGATGCTCCTACCAACCAATAATCAACAGATATAAAAATGTTTTGCTCTAACTACATGCCAATCTGTTAACAAAAACTGTCTTCATAACGGCCAAATAAAAGTGAACAAAGCAAGGAACACACAATTAGAGCAGTTTAAGGCATGAAATCGTGCTTGCCTCAGAAAGCAAGACGCAGTAACCGTCTTTGACATTTGCAGCATCTTTGGCAACAACCGCAGAGCCAAATCTTCGTTACCATCACTAGTTTGCCATTTTATTTATTTTTAAGGAACTCTTTATGACATACCTCTTCTAATCACTATTTCCGATAATGAACAGGCACATATCAAGCGGTTTGCATTACAGAGCCATCAGCACAGAACAACAGTCAGAGGTGAGTGACCCCAGGGACCATCTCCACAACTACAGCAAAGCTTCTCCCTGACACTAATCCTGCCTGTCATTCTCCCACTGTGCTCTAACCACACTGACATCCGCCTGCCGCACTGCAAGCTTAACGGGGCCCTTCCTGACTTTTTACTGTCTCCCCCAATCAATGGTTCAAGCGTGCTCTTTTCACCATGTCCAAATGGCAGCTTCACTCATAATCAAAGTGCATTGCTCCTGTTAAAGGGCTTCCCGAAAGGCTTCACCATTTGCATTCATTTGCAAAGCAAACTACTTTTATTCACTTTGTTCTGCTATCAAGAGTGTTCCCTGAAGCAGATAAATTGGCATAAATACAACCTGCCACTTAAAAGACAGTAAATAATAGCCAATAGTAGCAAGGATTTTATCAATCGTCCTGGTTTGGATCCATGTAGTCCTTTATTAAATGCTGAAAGCCTCAAACATTCATAGTTTTTCATATAAGAATAAAATGAATTATCTATGATGCTTCAAACATAAGACGCTTAAACAATGGGTGTGTATGTGAGAGATCTCGCACATACATTACATGCATTATACAATAACACTCCGGCCTCCATAAGAAATGATAAATACACAGAAAATCTTCACATTCCACAATAACCTTATTAATTTTACTATTTTAAACAAGTTGATATACTCCATATATTTATTATATTATACTCCATGTCGATATTTTATATTATTTTTAAAAGAAAGATTTGCAGTACTTAATGTTCTACTTATAAAAATTTTATCACTGTAATTTAAATAATGAATTCTTCTACAAGTTTTGGTTAAAAGCCTTTTGTTTAAAAATTAGTCAAATTTCATACCTCATAATTAGCCTTAATATGCAGTTTACTGTAATTTTCTATTTAATTTGTACTAAAACTTGGGAGGGGTTGTTGGTTTGGGGGGTGTTTCTCTCTTTTTTTTTTTTTTAAGTGCATTCACAGCTATTCTCTTACCATATCCAAAGCATATCTAAGCAATTACACATGGAAATCAAGATGATCTTTTCAGTGATATACATATGTCGGAAGCTTTCTGGTAAGTTTTATTTTCAGACATTTTTGTAAGCTCACAATTTTACTACCCATTTGTAAATATTACAGAACTCCTAAGATAATCTTCCTAAATAATGGACAAAAACTACAATCATTCTGCATATCTGTAGTTAATTACACAGCTAATTCACAGCACAAGAATTCATTAGCTACATTAAAATATCAACTTCTTAATCTTATTTCAAGCTGACAATAATTTTAGAATGTGAAGACCTAAAATATTTATAAATTTGGAAAATCTTTGAAAAAGCTTTTAGAAAATGAACTCTCAACAGCAAAAGCTGTAAAAGAGCTTTTGTGAATTTGCAATTCCTCAGCAACAGTTAATTGTGTCTTTAGATGCAACAGCACCTACTGCGATCCAACTACTACAAGCAGCTACGAGGGTGGTCATGGTGTGAATGTATTCTCCCTGTTCTAATCTGTAGCCAACTGTAACTGTGAGAGTCAAATGAATGCATAAACATACTGCTTTGTCACCTAAAACCATGTGTGTCCAATATTACTGAAACACTGGGCCAAAATTCATCTCTACAGTAAAGCAATGGAAGACACCACATGGTGAGGGGACAGCTGTTGTTACTACACAAGCATTCAGATTTTGCATCAAAAAAGCCTCACTCTGGGATTAACTCCCCATACTGAATATAAAATTAAAAGTACACAGTTATGGTCTACAGTCTTTAAAATGAAAATAAGCTACAAGTGTAGATATAAAAGTTTCATACCATTCCCATAACTAATAATCCTTTACCATGGTTTAGTGTGCATAGCTGGCAATGCTGAAGGATTAGTTCACGCAAACCACTGTGCACCTTTCTATAGGAAAGAAATATGAATGTGGCTTATTGTTTAGCATCACTCTTACATGTGCATCTTAGCAATTCCATCCCACTTCGTTCAGCATGACAATTTTACACTATTAGGATTTTTTAAAATATGAGCAACATTAATTTCAATTACATTAAAAACAAATTTTTAGACAACAAAGCATTTCTTGTCAAGAAAAGTCTGACTCATTTAGATCTGCTAACATTAATAAGTATAAAACGATATATTATATATACATACTTTTATTGATAAAATTGGAAAGTGACTGGTATTTGAGAGTTTATAAGGAAACTTTTAGAGTCATTTACAGTGCCTTGGCAATATGAGATAATTTGATTTTTTTAGACTGAATATTAGCTTTAGGTCATTTCTTCCTGTCATCAGTATACTGAAGATTCAATTAAAATCACTTTTGTAGGGAAGTTTGGCTAAAGTTTCAATCTAACTAGAACTTTATGCTACACTTCATCTAATTTTGGTGATTCACTGATTTGAGCACATCTAGTCCATGATCTTGCAAATAAAACATTAGGCAGCATCTATTTAGAAATACCTGTCCAAATATTTCTAGACCAAGGGTCCTAGTAAAACCCTAGACAATTTTGCGAAACAGGAACCATTTAACCTACAAGATG